ATGTAATATTATATTATATTTATGTTTTATAAATTATAATAATATATAGGTAGTCCTTGAGATCGGTTTTAGTTAAAAATAATATTTTACACCGTGAAACACGTATTTTTAAATTCAAACCAGRTACAATTATGAGACATTCACGGATGAATAAACTTATACACGCCCAATTTTTTTTTTCATATATTTTTTTTTCATAGGTACTTTGAGATATTGACCTAAGAAGTAATTATATTTTGTATAAATATAGCATAATATATTCAACTTGTTATATTAATTTTTTTTTTTGTAAAGTCTTATTTGGTTACGGATTGTAATATTATATAACTATTAATAATACCTTTACTCTACATTTCCTTAATACCTAATCCAAAGTAGTAAGTTTTTTACTATAAAGATTGGATATTTGTACCTRTACAACTAGCTTGTATAGGTTTTTATATATTATAATTTAGAAACTTACCAATTCCGGAGATGATGCGCCCATGATCTATAACAGTAATATATTTATTTTAAAAGCAAAGCTCTATACAATTTACAAAACTAGACTTTGATGTGAAATTATAAATTATAATAAATATCCGTTATTACCTGTACAATTGAAAATGCTACAACAGACATTTCTAAAATGCTGAAAACACGGACCATTTTCACACAATAATTCAATTATAAAAAAATAAATCGTCAGATTTGATGGATAATTTTAATATAATTACATATTATAATATATATTTTTTTCTATTTATAAGACTATTATGGTCAAGGATTTTCTGAAATATCGTTTGTTATTGTTTAGTGTTTATAGTTTATACTAACGTAAGTCACAATAAGCCTCAATTTTGTTTTAATTCATAAATTAAAAAAAAATATATATCACGTATTTCATTGTTCCTTGGATTATATTTTTTTCTTCATTTACTCAACACTTATTTTCTGCGTATTCAACGTGAAATATATAATACAACTTACTCACACGTATCGTTCAAAATTTAATTTTTAACATTTCCGTGTCATAAATGACATATTTGTATATGTCATTTAACGATAATATGAAATCCTGGTGGCTTTTAACTCAGGTTTTATTCTCTATCTCGCTGAGTACTGGACATGGTGCTGCAATTGGTAAAGAACTTTGTAACTGCCAACCTACATTAGTAAGTATTATTTTTTTAAGTCCAAAAAAAAAAACAAGTCTTAATACTTAACACTGATATACCTACTTCGTCTTTAGATTAGAACACCAAAAATACTAATTCAAAAACCCGCTCAGCAAGTCRTCTGTACTAAAATACCTAGCGCTCAAGCATACACACCAATAAAAAATGCTTGCACTTGTGTAAGCACACGGGTAAGTGTACAGTATATTGTACATATTATGATATATATTTGATGTTTGTATGAATAAAGTAAAATGTTTTTTTATGTACCTAGGTAGACATCTAGTATAAATTTTGAATATAGATATAATATTCAATGTTAGGATTTAAACGATTAAATGAATACTCTAATACATAACTTCTTTTACCCTTTTCGATCAAAAAAATTAAAACATCAATAAATGGTAACACGCAACTCTCCTTGTTCAGATTTTTGATGTTTAATATATATATACATTTTAGTTCAAATATAATTACTTTTTGTGTAAGAATAATTACAACAGTGTTTACTGTTTATGAAACAAAACGAATTGCATACTTCAGTAAATGTCCTAGTGTCAAATTTCAATAATTTCATGCAATATATCATGTATAGCCATGGCATATTATATTAGGTGTGTTACAAAARTTAAYAAGTTAAGAACTTTAAAATCAATGGTTTATTAATCCAGTTTATTAAGGTTTAACTATTGAACGTTGTATTTTAAAAGAAAAAATYATTCATATAATTTTTAAATAATTTACATAATTTTTTTTTTTTTACATTTTTGAACTTTTTAGTTTTTTTTTAGTACCTATTGTATAACTATAAAACATATTATAGACAAATTTAGACTTTGGCGAAAAATATGAAAAGTTAGATGAGAAAAATTCTTCACACTGAATATACTAAAAAATCTTTATGTTCAAGTGTTTTGCATTTATTAATTCTTAGAAATTTAGAAAATTCAAATAATTTATTCAATTAACACCTGGAATGCCTAAAAAGTAGTATTTTTATGTYCACAGGTGATGCCGGCCCCAGTGGCTAGAGTGGAATGCAACTTGATGGCCACAACACCACCGATTCAAGTTGCGAGAGACAATAGTGGGGGCGTGGAAGAGGCACCGCCACTGTTCGGTTTACCGGGCGGCGCGTTTTTCCCAGAAACTGAGTGTGATAGAAAATTCTCACACCTCACCGGAACTCCGGTGTCCCAAGACCCACCCGGCCCGAACGGTATAGACGAACCGGCGTCGGATCCGACGGGAAACGGGTGCTGCGACAACGGCCCACTCACTGCCGTCGTGGTGGATCCGGTGTCGCTAATGATAGCGCAAGCTGAGGCCAATCGGTGCCGGGGTGACGTGCACGAGGGCCGTCTGGCGTTCGGGCAGGTCGTCGTGCCGAGAGATGCGTTACCGTTGCCACGGGCCGTGCCGGACGTCAACGAAGAGGGCCTCTACTCGTTGGACAAGGCCATCGTCGAGCTGAAGACTTGTAAGTCGCGGTTTGCAGACGACTCGGCTGCGCTGGCAACGGAAGCTGATGCCTTGCTGGCCCTCGAGGATGACGCCTTGCGACCTGTGGATTACGACGGACCGATAGTGACGCTGCCTAGCTACGCGGACGTCGGCTACCAGGCCGAAACGCCATCTTGCTCGCCATTGGTAGTTGGCCCGCTCCCGCAGCCCAATGGTCGCACTCCGTGTAATACCGTTTACGAGAACACCGGCGAGACGTCGCCACTGATGGACACCAATGTAAGATGCTCGTCGTCGGGATGCCACTGCACTTGCAATAAGTCGTCTCCGCAACTGAAGTGCTCTTGTGGAAAATGCTCGTGCGCAAAATGCTCACGTGGCTCGTACTAACCTGATACACAGCTGGATCGACGTAGCATTTCTAAATGATACAATTAATATTTTGTTAACACTTTATAATATTTTGAAAATCGAACAATACACTCAGACACAATATATAAGCAAACGCTTGAGTTCTGTTTACCTATCCAATCAAGCCTAATATATAGCGTATAATGCTCAAGTCTTGACGACTATAACTCTGTTTAAGATGAACGTGATGGTCACGCCTGTCAGTCAAAAACATAACTCAATAACAACCGTGTATAAGTATGAGGTAAATTTAAAATTATGTGTATACTCACCAATGGTGTATTGTTTGTTATTTTATATCAATACAATATAAGTTTATTCGGAAATTTATATTGTTTTTCATCGTATGTATGTATAGAACTATCACTACAACAGTATACGGCAAKATTCTAATATTGCGAATAAGTTGTATTAATTAATTAGCTTATCGAACAACTAAAAAACAGTGCATAATAAATTATGCATGATGAAAATTAAGAATAATTTTCTTATAGTCACATTCGTTTAGATCATATATACATTATAGTTATATAAATATATAATATATTATATCTAGTTATTCCTTAAATTGTTAAATTAGATGGTCGTATTTTTCAACCATATATTTTTATGTCAAAGTATTAATATTATAATTTAAAACGTATATAAAATTAATATCATAAGATACATTAAAAACTATAAATTCCTAAAAAAAAATCAACAACCATCTGGCTGTCTACGCAAGAGGTATCTTTAGGATCGTGCAAACACGTTACGTATCTAATAACGATCGCGAGTGTTGTGTAGGTATAATTGTTAAAGAAAATACAAATATTGTTCAATCTTCAATCTATACAAGTAATAGCGTTGAGCTATAAGTGTAATGCAATTTATGAAACGATCTTTCGGGTTCATAATAATAATAATAATAATAATAATAATACTAAACATAATACAGTGGTTTCGAAGCTATTGTCTTAACGATAACAATATGGATAACAGTATAACACGCACACACGATCTKAAGATTTCGTGATTCGTGACGTTTAAAAATACGTGTTTWTAGGTATCTGGGTACCTCCGTTATGTTTAAACCACATGGCGTATATTTTTGGCACAGAAAATGTCTGTATTCCATAATAATCTTAATATTATTTCACCATGTACCAATTTTATTYTTCTTTAATTATATTATGAAGYTGGTTTAATTRCGCTATTAATTATTTTGAATTGCACATATCAAACGTTGTCTATAGGCAGGCATGTAGTCCTAAAGTTATTTGTGAGTATGCTACATATGTGGCAGCTTTTGTCATCAACCCAGGCCCCCGTAGCCACGGTGGGAAAGGGCGTTGCCCCCTTAAAAATATTAGACAGACATTGTTTTATATATAACGCCCCCCCTAAAGTTTGCTTTGCCCCACCAGAAAATTTGGTCTGGCTACAGTCTGCATCAACCCCTCCACCTCCACCTCCTTTCATTTATATAAATTAATAACATATAATTAGTTATTATTTTATTAAGTTGATTTTAAATTATAATAACTTTAACAATGTAATTAATATTATTATAAACTATAAAGTATATTTATTTACCTAATACATAATATAATAATACTTCTGCCAGCTAGTTTAAAACAATGTTTGTGAAGTGGGTATACGCATGTTTTTCAGCGCATACTTCCAGTCTCAAGTTTTTTTCTTTAGTATGCTCTCTTTTAAAAATTTGAAAAGTGGGTATGCGCCGCATACTCACGCATACCCTCCACTACATCCCTGCCTATAGGTTATAATAAGTATATATATATGTTATATAGTGGTCAATGCAAGTGATGGTAGGTGATAGTATTCAGAATTCCCAACCATAAAACTTAAATTTCCCTTTTAATGAAAATTTACTGTCAAAAATATTCGGTTCGCTACGCTCGCTAATAATATCATTCTTTTAATTCAAATGCTTTAATTCTAAAACATTCTATATAACACACATACAATACACACATTTAGTTATATAGCACAGTACTCCGCTCTGAAAATAAATTGGAGTTTTTTAAATTCAGCACAATCCCTATAAAATCAATGGTATAAGATTTTAAATACTACATTATTACTTATTTATTAATTTTTTTTTTTATTGATCTTAAAAAAAATACAACTCGGCAGCATAGGCCATTAGTTTACAATTCTTAATTACTATTTAAATTAAACACATTAAGTTCTTTTATACAATTTTATTTTGTCAATTAAATTAGTTAATTTTAGAAATGTCAGCGTTTTTTTGTTCTGTTCTGGGTGTGGACCTAGAGTTTCGGCCAAGTTGAGGTCCATTCGCTTCTGATYGTAAATATATGGCATTTAATCAGGATATGCTTGATGGTGAGGCGTTTATCCAGTGGCGTAATTACGGGGGTGCACGACGGTGCACTTGTACCCCCTGGTGTTATGTTGCAGGTGCAAAGATATGCTTTTGCACCTACAGAATATGCTGAACTTTATACCAATTAAAATACAATATCAACTATATTTCATTGATTTGTTGAATTTTTTTTAAACTTATTTAAAAATTTCGTTATCACTTTAATTAATTTCATATATACATATTATATTTTTATATGTATATAATGTATCATAGTACAAAATACAGATACAGTACATATTATAGTATTTAAAATACAGGTACCTACAGATTTTGATATTTGTTTATCTTATATTGTTATCAAATATAAAAAGATACCTATAGGCTATAGTACACGCGAGCAATACAATTAGGACCGATAAAAATTTTGCACCCGCTAAAATTTAATGGAATTACGCCAATGCGTTTACTACAGACTTCGCAGCTGGGGGGTTCGTCATTTGCCATGAGACATTCGTGGGTAAGTCTAGTGAGTCCGATTCTTAAATGATTTAAAAAAGTTTCGTCTTTTCGATTGAGGTTGGGATTATTCCTTGTGAAGGTTGAATTATTTAAAATTTGTTTTTACATATATACTGATTAGAAGTATATAACAAATATTACAATTAATAAATTATTTTTTTATGCTAGATTTTTTCAGTCAATTTACAAATAGGATAGGTATACCTTCTTCAAGTCTCAAATCGTATATTTCTAGTATTTCTACGCATCAAARTTTAATTAACCATAGTAATAGTAGGTAATATAAATCTCGATCACCGGTTTAATGAATAATAATCGTCATTTGTGATATTATATCATACATTATAATTTATAATATCATATAAAAGTTATCGTCTCATCGATTACCAATGATACCATTACCATTGACCTGCAATGGTAATCGTAATTTTAAGTTTTAGCTACATTATAATTAACTATAGTGACACAAYAATACAACGAAAGTTCACAGYAGTAGAGAGTAGTATCACATATATAATAAAGATTTCCAAGAAGACGAATTCGATACGTATATCGACTGAGAATATAGTTACGTACCGACTCGGCGACTCGCATCGAAGTCTAAGCCCGATATGAGGGCTTGGTAGGACCGACTCGGTACGTATCGGACGTAATCGTTCCACGAGAAAGCGAGTAAATATCGACCAATCTTGTGAACATTTGAAGTTAAAATGCTCATTAGTCATTTATTTGTTTACTTCATAAAAATTTAATTTGATTTTCTGGTAGGAACAATTTACATATTTTACATATTAAACAAATTTGTGAGGAATCTTGTATTAAATTTTCAAATTTTAGGACWTCATTTTTTTATCATCATTTTATAACTGAATAATTAATKTTCGTGATTTTTGTGATTTTTACAAATTTTGTTGAAACTCGAACTTAAGACACTCGTAAAATTTATTGAAAAATAACCTTTTATTTTAAATTTCAACTTACAACAACTTACATAGAACCATGTATTATTACATTTTCAAGTTTTTGATAAAGTGAACATATTTTTATTGACATTAATTTTTATTTTAAACCTAATAAAAATAAAAATTTCAATATTTCGTATATTTTATTRTATTTAGAAATGCTAATATAAATATTCAGGGAAATTTTAAATATTCACGGTATTTTTATTAAGAGTTACACCAAAACCAAAATCGATTTTGAGTAAAATKTCCGTTTTTCAATAAATTTTTGTTTTCTAGCCTCTTCTTAAGCTACTGGGAATTTTAAATGTTGACCTTTCAAATGTACCAACTATATAAACTTTCCCACTGGAAATAATATTCAAGTTGAAAATCTTAATATTAATAAGTATTATTTCGACTACTTATGGTGTGTGTAGACACAAATAATAATAAAAACACAGACATTATTATAAAATCAATAAATTCGTCGCTCCACTTATAGAATCAAAATATTACATACCTGCAACAGTAACATAATAGTATACCTAATATAACGTCATATACGTTATGACGTACGTGCCCAGCAGTCTAAAGAATCAATATTAAACATTTTCTAAAAATATGCTTGCAACACGGTAGAGTACCTATATTGCCTATACATTACGCCTCATAACACGTTATGTTCGACAACCCTTTGAACACTATACATTTTCGGGTTGTGCATATTTCTGGAAATATCATTATTGCATACCAGCTATTTATACTAATGATGTTACTACAATTTACTATCTGGCATGATTTAGTCATGTTCGCAACCTCACACCCGTTTATCTACATGGATAATATTATACTTAATTATTTTTACCTACCCCGGAGCACCTTTCATAATATTTTATTTTGAACGAATTATTCCTAAACTCTATATTATAGCCATATACTTTATCGGTACTTATATCGTATAATAAATTATCTATTATTATAGTGATTTTATTTAGCTCTGAATATTATCAACAAAAAAATAATCACGTATTTTATCGTTATTCACGCACTGACACGTCATACGAAGGATAATAAACCGATCGCTAGGCATTATTGCGCAGTATACAATATTGTGCCRTCTCCTTTTTTTACAGTGAAGTATATATAATATTATAATGGATCTTGTATACGCTTATAATACGTTATAATCGTTGAACCTAGCTATTACGATATTATTTGGTACGTTTTTTTCACGCACGCGTCGATTCGT